ATTAGAACCTTAGCCCACATCACACATTCACTGAGCCCCAGGTACCTCGGCCAGTGACAGGAGTGACCTGGAGCACTCAGAATGACTGACAAAGTTGTTCTCCTGCTCAGACTCTGCCTCTATTCCCAAAACTACTTTCACATAGGGACCTTACGCCTTTGACCTAGCAACAAGTTCAGAGCAACACTGGCCTTGGGATGAACCTGGCCTGGCCCACACACGACCTCAAGTAGAGTCTCTGTTCCTCACCCACCCCCAGAAGTTTCTGCTTGTCTGAACTCACCAACACATGATGGATGACCAGGCTCTTGACTGCGTGTTTCAGGAGAGACCACTGCTTCCTTCTTTTGCATTGAAACAACTGTTGGGTTATCACTGAAAGGAAGTTTACATGGTAGGATTGAACAGGTGCTCACATCTGAAGAAGCACTTGCCTAAACACAAATATAGGTGACTGCAGTCATTTTCCAGGAGCAGAGGGTCTGTGTTAGAGTGGGGGTCACCCTGAAGGCAATGCCCATATCCCAGCCCCAGTCCAGGGTCTTCTCCTCCTGGGCATGGTCACACCTCCATGGCCTAGAGATTTGGTTCTTACAGCTCCCCCACCACACAGACCAAAAGGAAGTGGATATGGAGAAATGCATAACTTAAGAATGAATTTCCATTCACTTTAAGATTTCCATTCACTTAGTCCCCCAAGAGGGGCTCAGTGGTCACTGAGCCCACCCCTTCTTACTTCACCTCCAAGATTGAAAACCTGGAGGGAGGAAGCAGGGACCACATCAGACCTGATCAGCCTCAAAGAAGATGCAGCCCCTCCTGTCCTTGTTGGCCAGTGTCCTACACTCCGGGGTTGAAGGAGGTAAGTGACCTCCTTACCTATTCTTAGCTCCACCTCCACTACACAGGCTTAGTCCACTGTGACATTTCCATAGCGTACACTGAAGCTCGCGTGAGCCTTCCTTGCTCAGTCTACTCCCAGAAACTTGCTGAAACCCAGACCTCTATCTGAATATACAGGACAGAAATCCCAGCAAAGGAAACTACTCCCATGAGATCTGGGGTGTCATCTCCCTTCCATGGCTCTCACTCCTGTCACCTGAACAGGGACTTATATTTAGGACGGGGCAGGATGCAGTGGAGGGGAGAGCTGGAGTTGATGTCCATAATTTCCATTCTGCACACCTAAGTCAGGTTAGGTGTCTGCTATGGCAGGAGCTGTCCTCTGGACCAAGAATGAAGGTGTTTTCTTACACTCAGGATCTGACTGTCACTCTCTCTCTGGCCCCACTCTCTGGTTACTCAGCTCTATCAGGAAGAACACAGAAATTCTGGGCCATCACAGTGTGCCTCCACCACTGCCCAAGGCCTAGTGAGATGAGCATCCACTGGTTCCCCACATTACCCATCTCACCCTGATTTCCAACACTTTCTTCCTTCCCTCTTTCGTCATTCCTTAGAAAAATAAATATGTGTTGGGGTTCAGATTGCATTAGGACCACTCCTCCCTCATGCTCACAAATTTGAACACTGTTCACTGTGTACCCAACAATCATTTGAGGGGTGTTCACTCTGTGCCTGACACAGGATGTATAGGAGTCCAGAGTTTTCACTGCTCGGGGCCCAAGTGTTCAGGTTGGTTACTTGACCATGCCTGGACTGGGCAGGACATAGGGGACCATGTCGTGAGAAATTGGGGTACTGGAAATTAATTCCAGGTCTTCTAGATGGTCTATCTCAAACACATATCCTTTCCACATCTTGGGGAAATTGTCCTCAAAGTTCAGTGCTGGGACTTTCTGACTGAATCCCCGTAGGATCCTCCTCATGGTTCAGGCTGAGCCAAACTCTCAGGTAGAGGGGCTCTGTGTGGCAGTATGGGCAAACACTGTGAGCAGTGTGAGCAGAGGGGATCTGCCCAGTGTGTGTAGACTCTCTCCCTACTAGTGAGAGGCTACAATGAAAATCAAAAATTGTGGTGTGACTCACACTTGCCACTGCATCCACTATTGTCCTGGACAGTGAGTGTTATAGCAAGGACACAGAGGGATGCCTGTGAGGACATTCACTCTTCACTGGGGCTGTTCTTTCTTAGGAACAAGGACACAGGTGCTCAGCAAGCTTCAAACCTCTCTCAGTTGCCCTGAGGACATCAGTACCCCTTGATGGAGACTCTGGCTTCTCAGCTCCCTCATTATCTGCAAAATATCCTAAAATGGAAAGCCAGGCCTCTCATCCCACCAGAGCACATTCAGGAGACAGTGGGAGGACCTCGGTTCATTTTGAGGCTGGCGGCAAAGGACACATCAGGCAGCTGGTGTGTGGCCTCCTGCCCTCCTGCCTTCACCCTGTTCTTGCACTCGCCCTCCAGACTCTATGCCCACGGCATTTGCCCTGGACCCAGTCACGTCCCACTGACAGGTAGGCATAAGGCCTAAGACAGGGACATTGGCGATGCTTGTATGTATGAGGACTCTCCACACTGCAGACACAGAGCAGCAGGCCATCTCCCCAGGGTGGGGCAGAAGACAATGGGGACTTACACCTGAAGGGGCTCAGAGACTCCCTTTGGGAAGAGGAGGAAGTTCGGGGGGGAGGTGCAGGGGGTGACAGGACAAGGGGTGTGGTCTTTGTGCCCCCACACTGTTCACCTGATCATGGTGATGGGTAAAGTTGATGTTCAGTGTACTTTACCACAATAAAATGTAGTCACAAAAATGCAAGATTCCTCTGTGCCCAGAGGAATTAAGTGCTCATGGTCGAGAAGTTGTTGAAGAAAGTGGGCAGCGACCTCCTTGCACTCGCCACGCCTGCTTGGAGCAACTTCTCCTTCAGCTACTGGGGAGTCTGCAAGGAGAAAAGGCACGTGTCTGTCTCTGTTCACCCCCTGGTATCTCCACCTCACCCTCCTGCTGTGAACGTGACTCTGAAGCAGAACCCTGGTGTGAGCTGGGCCCAGTGGGGCATCTGACAAGGCGCAGCTGGACTAGGAGGAGGAGCTCCAGGGGGAGTGCTCTAGGTGGAGGACGCTACCCATTTCCATGCTCCTTTGTCCCACTCTGAGTTCTCAGAGCTGTTTGGGTGTCTACACTGATGGTTTAGGTCTGTTTGCTTGTCTGTTGTTTGTTCCTACTAAGTGGAGATATTTTCAGCGACTGTATCTTTAATCATTTTCTGCCCTGTTGTCCGGGGTGGAGGGAATCCTGCCCATTTCCATGATCCTTGTCCTGCTTTGAGATCATTAAGCTTCCTAATGTCCACATTAATGGTTTGGGTTTGTTCCATGAAAATTGAAACTTTTCAGTCATTGTTGCCTCTATACTTTCACTCCTTCATTCTCCCGCATCTTCTTGGGCTCATACTATACATCTGTGCATTATTCCAATTCTCCGGGCTTCATGCACTTTCCAATTTTTTCTTTCTATTTACTGAAAAGTACAGAGAAATTACAAATTCATTCATGAAGACCAGAGACCAGCTGATCTCCCGACGCGTTTACTAAGCTCAAGCCCAGGCCTCTGTCCCAGGTCAGAGCAGCTGAATCAGGAGCAGGCAGGGGCAGCTGACACAGGGCGCTCAGGAGCTGGGCCGGTATCACACGCACACATGCCTGCCCCAGGATGGGCCTAAGCCTGTGAATGGTTCCTCCGGCCATCCTCTGATGGAGCCTGTGGGGTGGAGGGGGAGCCCCAGGTTGTGTCCCATGAGTTCAAGGAAAATTCTCTATCAGAAAAAATGATAACGCTGCCCAGAAGATTAGATGTCATCTATGGAAATTGTGAAAACCCTCGTGGTTTGCGACAAGATGCCTTCAAATGATAACCAACGGCTCTAAGTCAAAATTATATGCTACATCATTGACTTTCTAAGTTGCCAAAATTTCATAAATATGATCTACTGGGTACTTAATTCAATGTGCCCAACACAGACACTTAATAAGCCACCCCAACTTTGCTGAATACACTTGGGGTTTGCAAGTTGGGGATGGGGAGAGACAAAACCATCAAAAGAGCAGGACAGTGACAAGCCATTAACACACAGTCACACCGGGGACAGCAACGAGAATGAGAGGACACTTTACATGTTTCAGCTCTGGGAATAGGTCGTCAGGAGATGCAAGACAAATGATGTCCACTTTCAAAGATCATGATCTTCACTCATCTATGTTAACTTAAGAAAGTAGACAGAGTAACGCAATGTACTGTAATGTAAACTCTATGGGGATGGATGTATTCCAAGGAGATTCAAAATTGAAATGTCCTCATGCACCTGTGTACAGAAAAGAAAGACAGGAATGAGAATGAGAAGACACTTGACATTTCCTATTCTGTCGAATGGTGTTTCAGAGCTGCAAAGGAACATACCTTTATGTACAGACTGAGATACAAGTCCAGCAGTCTTCTCAAATCCGTATTAAATTACAAGAACACAGAGAAGTAATGTAAACTGTATGGTGATTGTGTGTATCCCAACTACATTCACACCTTGAAATGTTTCCAGGCAACAGCTGACAGTGCTCAAGCGCCTGTGCAGAGACTTGGGATCCTCATTTGAGGTGGGGCCTCGGGATCAGAACCTTAGCTCACATCACACATTCACTGAGCCCCAGGTACCTCGGCCAGTGACAGGAGTGACGTGGAGCACTCAGAATGACTGACAAAGTTGTTCTCCTGCTCAGACTCTGCCTCTATTCCCGAAACTACTTTCATACAGGGACCTTACGCCTTTGACCTAGCAACAAGTTCAGAGCAACACTGACCTTAGGTTGAACCTGGCCTGGCCCACACACGACCTCAAGTAGAGTCTCTGTTCCTCACCCACCCCCAGCAGTTTCTGCTTGTCTGAACTTGCCAACACATGATGGATGACCAGGCTCTTGACTGCGTGTTTTAGGAAAGACCACTGCCTCCTTCTTTTGCAATCATGTAACTCTTAGGTTATCACTGAAAGGAAGTTTACATGGTAGGATTGAACAGGTGCTCACATCTTAAGAAGCACTTGCCTAAACACAAATTTCTTCAAGTGAGGTCATTTTCCAAGAGCAGAGGGTCTGTGTTAGGTTACAGGGTCACCCTACAGGCAATGCCCATATCCCAGCCCCAGTCCAGGGTCTTCTCCTCCTGGGCGAGGTCACACCTCCATGGCCTAGGGATGTGGTTCTTCTCCCCCACCACACTGACCAGAGGGAAGTGGGATATGGTGAAAAGCATAACTTAAGAATGTATTTAACCAGGAGGGGCTCAGTGGTCGCTGAGCCCGCCCCTTCTTACCTCACCTCCAGGATTAAAAAGCTGGAGGGAGGAAGCAGGGATCGCATCGGATCTGATCAGCCTCAGAGAAGATGCTGCCCCTCCTGTCCTTGTTGGCCAGTGTCCTACTCTCCGGAGTTGAAGGAGGTAAGTGACCCTCTCTATTCTCAGCTCCACCTCCATATACAGGTTTAGTCCACTTGTGATACTTCCATAGTGTCCACTGAGGCTCATGTGAGCCTTCCTTGCCCAGTCTATGCCCAGAAACTTGCTGAAACCCAGACCTGTCTCTGAATACACAGGCACAGAAATCCCAGCAAAGGAAACTACTCCCACAAGACCTGGGATGTCATCTCCCTTCCATGGCTCTCACTCCTGTCACCTGAACAGGAACTTATATTTAGGATGGGCAGGATGCAGGGGAGGGGAGAGCTGGAGTTGATGTCCATAATTTCCATTCTGCACACCTAAATCAGGTTAGGTGTCTGCTATGGCAGGAGCTGTCCTCTGGACCAAGAATGAAGGAGTTTTCTTACACTCAGCGTCCCATTTTCACCTTCTCCCTGTCCCTACTCTCTGGCCACTCAAATCTACCAGAGTTAAACTCAGACACTAAATGAGCCATGGCATGTGGCGTCACCATGCTCCCAAGGCTTAATGGACAGCTTCTCCCACCAGGCTCAATTCCGCCCATTTCCCCAACCAATTTGATTTTCAAACTTGTCTAATCTTCCCCTCGTTCCTCTAGTCTATTTCTAAACAGACAAATCTGTGCTGGGAATCAAATTGCATTAGCACCACTCCTCTCTGCTGCTGACAAAGAAACTGGAGTATTCACTGTGTGCCCAACAAGCCTTTTGGTGTATTTACCATGCTGTTGACTCAGGATGGGGATAATGAACCCTGAGTTTTCCACTGCTCAGGATCCAATTTTTCAGGTCTAAGACTAGGCCAAGCCTGGAGTAGGCAGGACACAGTTTGGCTGAGAAGTGTTTGAACAAGTCAACCAGGCTAGGTCAAAGCAACTAATTTCAGGTCGTGAAGACGTCTATCCTGAGCACACATCCTTCCCCAGGACATGTGTTTGAGGGTTTGATATTCGATAGGGCAGAGCTCCCCGCTCCACAGAGGAACTGAGAACCAGGCGAGGAAACATTCCCATGCACCCAATGAGCTCAGGAGGCCCGAGTCCATATCCCATGGTGTTGGGTCCTTGAAGACCACGACAGCCCACCCCAGCCAGGGTCATCTCATCCGTTGTTTCAGCCTGCAAGGCAAAGCCCAGATCTTTTTCTATGAACAAAGAGATCCAGGGAAGTTTCTCTTTCAGGAGAGATCTACTGGGGCACAGAGGCCAAACCACACTCCCGGCCCTACATGGCATATGTGAGTTACAAAAGAGATGGTCATTTGCACAAATGTGGGGGTTCCCTGGTACAAGAAAACTTCGTGTTGACAGCAGCTCACTGCTTTGGAAGGTGAGGAGAACAAATGGGGCCTTCGCATCCTGGGACCTCCTACACGGCCCCGGGCAATTCAGGAAGGTTCCTGACCACAGAGACACACTGAGGAGCCCTGTGACCTGTGTGGCCGGAGCAGAGCGAGTTTGGGTTTCCTGGAGTATCGGTGGGAGGGGGAAGCTGCCGAAATCACCATCACAGCCTGGGTCACCTCTGCACAGCAAGGAAGGGGGACACCCACCCTCCCAACCTTCCAATCTACTCAGCTGGGGGTCTAGAGGCTGCGCTTCAACCTGCCCTCCAGAAACAGAGCTGAAGTTCCCGACTTCACATCCCCCTTGTTTTACAGAAATATGACTGTCACGCTGGGAGCTCACAACATCAGAAAGGGGGAAAACACCCAGCAGGTCATCCCTGTGGACAGACCCTTCCCCCACCAGGACTACGATGCTAAGAAAGCTGTCAATGACATCATGCTGTTGAAGGTAACATCTTGCTGACTTTCAGGGCAACTGCACGGGAGCGAGTACCCCACCATGGGTATGAGTTCCCACCTCCCTCCAACTGGATGCTAGTCCTGTGTCAGTGAACAAAAAGGGGGGGGATGGGGAGAAGACTCTGACAAGGATTGCAGGAGCGCAGTGGGTACAAGCAGCCTCCCCACAGGCCTGAGCCCAGTGTAGGGCAGGATCGGAACGGCCCCCATCTCTCCTTTGTGACCAGCTAGAAGACAAGGCCCAACTCACCGGGGCTGTGCGGACCATTCCTCTGCCGCATCCTCAGGACTGGGTAAAGCCCGGCCAGGTGTGCAGCGTGGCGGGCTGGGGAAAAATGGCTGATGGCAACTATCCAGACACTCTTCAGGAGGTAGATCTGGAAGTGCAAGATGAGCAGAAGTGCAAGGATCTCTTCAAAAGGATGTACAACAACTCCATCGAGCTGTGTGTCGGAAAACCTAACTCCAAGAAGGCCACTGGAGTTGTAAGGAAACAATCCCCTTCCCAATCTTGCTCCTGTGTCACTGTGACATTGGGGTGCATGACCAGGCTCCTCCAATTGCACAGTATAGTGGGCCAGGTCCCATAGTGGGTGGAGGCATGTCTTGCCTGCAATGGGGGGCCTAGGCTTCTCTCAGCAGCCGTCCTCGTGTCCTTTGTCCTGGAACAACAAGAAGGTACTCTGGGGCTGGGTAGAGCTGGAGAGGGGCCACAGACAACAGTGGGGGACTCACATAGGCCTGGACCCTTTCCTCCCCCTACAATTAGAATGAAGGTGACTGATGACCATTCAGTCCCTTCCCCTTGGAAATCTGCGTGCTGAGAGCAAGGCAGGAGAACACTGGGGAGAAAATCAAGCTGAGAGGAGGGAGCCAAGGGGCGTGGCTGAGATTTGTCCCTTTTCTGTCCACAGGGGGACTCCGGGGGCCCATTCGTGTGTAACGATGTGGTCCAGGGCCTCGTCAGCTATGCTGACCAGCGTCCTGAGGTGCTTCCCCGGGTCTTCACCAGGATCTCCCACTTCCTGCCCTGGATCCACAAAATACTGAAACCCATGACTTAGCTAGACCTGGACCACCTACTTGGGGGCTCCTGTCCCTATTTGTGGGAACAGCTGTCTGATTCTCAATAAAGAGCATCTCCCAGTGGGACAGTCTGTGTCTTTCTCGTCCTTGATATTTCTCTGGACACCAGTTGTGCACCAGTTTCCACTCTACCCTCTTTTCTCTCCCAGCTCACCCCAAATCCCAATTGCTTTTTTCAAGGAAATAGAGCAAACTTTGAAATTTAAGGTACCACAAAGACCCTGAATAACCAAAGAAATTGTGAGAAAAACAAAGAATGGAGGGGATACACTTCCAGACTTCAAGCATTATTGATACAGATTCTACCAAGTCTGCACATTTCTTTGGCTAAGATGGCCATTTTATCCAATCCATGATCAAGAAAGGATATCCTTCTATTTCTTTGTATCTTATTATTTTTAAGTGTCTTAAAGTTTTCATTGTATAAGTCTTTCATCTCTTTTGTTAAGTTTATTCCCAGGTAGTTAGGTTTTTTTTGATGCAACTGTAAATGAGATGATTCTTAAAATAATAACACTGAAAGTGCTTATTATAAATTATATAGTGCAGCTAAAGCGGGTGGGGGGAAATTTATAGTATTAAAGCATAATGTAAAAATTGAAATTATTGAGCTGATGGAGTATCTTGAGAAGTTAAGACCCTGAACAAATCAATGAAATAGTAGGAAGAAATAAGTAGCAGAAACAAAATGAAATAACTGTCAAGGGGCTTACCCGGTAGCGCAAGGGGTTAAGCATTGCACTATGAAGCAATCCACAGCCTCTGCAGCAGGAGTTCGATCCCCGGCCGGCCAGGGAGCAACCCACATGGTGCAGCAGACCTCTCCTGCCTCACCCGCTGCCCCCCTCACAGTCTATTTCATCAGTCTGCCTGTTCTGTTCCTGGCTCTGTCTCTGGTGAATCCTCTCACCCCCCACATCTCTGGCCTGTACCCCAGCTCTTGTATGCATAAATAAATCTTTTTAAAAAAGAGAAATAGCTGTCAAACATACAGTAGAGGGATTAAATAAATAAAGATCAACTATTTGAGAAGACTAATAAAGCGGACAAACCTCTGAAGAAACTGGTCAGGAAGAGAGAAGACAAATATTAATATTTTTATAAACATTGCAGACCTTTAAAAGTTAAGCCCAGAACATTATAAAAAAAACTTTATGCTAATCCATTTGGAATTTTAGATAAAATAGATCTATCACTGCCTAACATTTATTCAGGAGGAAATTGAAAATTTAGGTAGTACTTGAACTACGAAAAAAAATTGTGTAACAATCAAAAACTTCTACATAAATAAGTGATGTAGGTGGTTTTACTGTTAATTTCTACTGAAATCTAAGGAAGGAAAACTTTTAACCTACAAACTCTTCAAAAAAAGAAAAAAGGAGGAGCATCACCCATGTAATTTCGTAAGGCTGACATAATCTTCCTCCAAATAGCCGAACGAAAAAGGAGTATTACAGAGCAATCTCATTCACGATTCAGAGACACCAACAGCCTGACACCGCGCCAACCCAGCCACATGGACAAGCAATAATACATTGGGGGCAAGTCAGATCTGCGCTGAGAAGGCAGATCTCATGTCTCCTTCCATCAACTGATGCAATGTGCCACAGAAACAGATCTAAGAGAAAGGTCATTATCTCAATAAACAGAAAAGCATTTGATAACATTAAACATCCACTCATGGTAATCAAGAACACCATTTGGCAGACCAAAATAGAAAGAAATTTGTAAAACCTGATAAAGTGTCTGTAAATCTACAGAAGCCTTTAGTGCGTCCTCATCTAGTAAGAAAACCGAGGCTTCAGTCCTGCCCACGAGAATGCAGGAAAGCCCTTCTCTGCAGACTGCTGTGCACGCAGAGCGTGGTGCTGATCGTTTCCTCCCGGCCCTTCCTTTGAGCAGCCCTGAGCCTGGAAATGGCCCTAAGTGGGACCCTTTTGGGGAAACCTATAGATACCAAAAGGGGAGAATGTGGAAGAAGGGGCACAGCAGAGCCGGGGTTTGCAGCCCTTCCTACTTCTAGTCCCCGTTCCAGGGACCTGATGCTCTGACAATGATGCATGCTCTGTGTCTGTGCTGGGGTCCTCTTGTTCAGGGGACACCATCGGGTCACAGAGTCCACACTCCACCCCCGCCCTGCTTGGACAAGCCTGCCAGGCACCATCAGCTAGCACGTCCAGGTGGGTAAGCTCCTGGAGAGAGAGCGCTGTGATGGCCCCTCACTGAGCTGACAGTGAAACAGCTTTGATTTCTTCTCCATGTTCTGGTCAATCAGAATAAAAAATGAGGGGGCCAGTGTGGTCATAGCTCAGGGATCTTTTTATTTCTGAAGAAAAACTGAGGAGGAAAAGATTTCTGGGATATCATTCCCTGTAGATGACCCCTTCTCAGCCCCAGGGAAAGTTTGTGTCTTAGTTCTTCCTGACCCCAGGCTCAGGTTTACTCACTCAGCCCTTGCTTCACAGCTAAAGTTTTCTCTGTCTCTCCTCCTTCCTCTGTCTCTCCCTCTCTCAGTTGATGGCCCATTACACTAGCTGCTTTTCCACTTTTGGATGTGGGTAACACAGCACACTGTCATGCACAGAACTGGCTTCCTGAGGGGCAAAATGCCATCAGCCAACAGCTACAACCTCATGGAGGTTGAAAGTCAGTCACAGGTGACAGTCAGTCACCTGTGTATTTATTGAAGTTATGTTGGAGTCAAACAGGCCTGGACGCTGCTCGTCTCCCTATAATCAAGGCCTGGTGTCTGATGAACATTCAGTCCCTTCCCTGGGACACCTGAGCCCTCAGAGGGAGGCAGAAAAGATTGGGGGGATGATGAAGCTGAGAGGAGGGAAGCCAGAGGGCCGTGGATGAGACTTGTCTCTTTTCTGTCCATAGGGGGACTCTGGAGTTCCATTGGTGTGTAAAGGTGTGGCCCAGGGCATTGTCAACTATGCCTGCAAGCGGCCTCCCCAGGTCTTCACCAGGATCTCCAGCTTCGTGCCCTGGATCCACAGAGCAATGAAACTTGCGGCTTAGACCTCTGTCACTTGTTTGGGAGTGGGAGGGGTCACAGTACCTACCTGTGGGAGCCTCTCTTTGGCCATCTCCCAGTGGGAGGGTCTGTGTTCTCTCTCGTCCTTGAATATTTCTCTGGACACCAGTTGTTCACCAGGTTCCACTCTACCCTCTTTTCTCTCCCCTTGCTCACCCCAAATCCCAATAGCTTTTTCTTCAAGGTAATAAAGCAAACATTACTGAAACATGTATGGTACCACAAAGGCCCTGAGTAACCAAAGCAATGTGAGAAAAACGAAGAATGGAGGTGTTATGCTTCCAGACTTCAATCTACTATTGATACAGATGGCATTGTCTGTATATTTTTCTTTTCTTTTCTTTTCTCTTTTTCCATAAAGGTAGGTTTGTTGTATAATTAAAGGAAAGGACGATTGCACAGACAGAAGCAGGCAGGAAGAGCCCCTGAAAGACACAGGTTTGTTAAAAGAGAGGTCATAGTCACTGGTGGGCAGAAGAGCTGCCAAGTTTGTATATTTCTTTTTAAGACAGCCACTTTAATAGTGTCAATTGATTTAATTCATGTCTAAAGGACATCCTTCCATTTTTGTATTTTCTTTTTTAATTTTAGTAGTGTCATAGTTTTCATTGTACAGGTCTTTCAGCTCTTTGGTTAAGTTTATTCTTCGGTACTTAATTCTTGTATATATTTTTTAATTAAACATTTTTTTAGCTTCCACAAAACCACCCATGCCCACACCCCATCTGCCTCCCTCCTCCAACCCTCCAAAATGCCTGGGGGATGAGAGAAGTTTGGGAATGCATTCGAATTAGTCAATAACCACAAACTTACAATTAGCAACTATAACCACTCATTACCACCATAGGGTTTACTGTGTTTAAAGAACAGTTGACTCATTACAGTTATTGTGAGAAGCTCATGAGCAGAAGACCACTGTACGTCTTGGATCACAGACAGAGACGCTATTTCCTGCATATTCTGAGCTGACGGGGGAGCCACAGCACAGGCACACCAGAGAAAGTCTCTCAGAGAAGGAGTTTCATGCAAACCAGATGGAGATGGAGCTCTACTCTGGGCCGTTCTTCCTTCCAAGCCATGTAGTGCTTTCCCTGTGAGAGGCTCCCAGCGGGCTCTGGGGATACAGCTGGTGAGCAGTGAAACTGACCACGTTCCTACTCTTGAGCACTGAGACCCTCATCAGCAACATAAACACACACTGCATGGTTATGAATGGTGGCGAGTTCTCCGAGGGGAGGATGATAGCCCAGGACAGGTGAGGCTACTTCTTCTGGGACTAGGGAAAGAGCTTCCTGTGGAAGGACTATTTGCTAGTCACACATCAAATGAATAAAGAGGAAAAGAGTTCTCTGATGTTCTAGGAATTGTCTTCAGGGGGTCACAAGCCAGAAGTCCTGAGGTGCCTGAGTTTCGTGAGGAATAATGAAGAATGCAAGCTGAAAAATAGATTTCTTCTCTCTTTTTTTTTTTTCAAAAAATCTGTGGAACTTAGAAATAGGGAGAAATGGATAAACTGGAGTCTTTGCAAACTTAAATCTTCTGTCTAAAGAAGACAATGTCACCAATAAGAGTGAAAATAGCAACTTTGTGGGGGAGATGATATTTACAATTATCTGCTGAAAAACAGGAATTATATCAAATTAGATTATATCAAAACTCTTGAAATTGTTAAGAAAAACAACTCAAATATAACTGCAAGGGGTATGATGATTCACAGAAGAGTGAGCTCAAATTTCTAGTAAATATTTGAAAAGTTAGTGAACCTCACCAAGTGTCAGGGAAGTGGTTATAGAAACCACTATGATTTACCATTTCACATCTAGTAGACAACAGAAACAATGAAGCCTTATGATCCTGGGTACTGTTGGTGGCATTAATCAGAACAGTGAATTGTGCAGGATTGAGCAATACCACAGGAAAGGTACCGGACACACCAAAGGGCCTCAAACAACATCACTGCCTTTTTAGCATGTTGACAAGAAAAAAAAATTGATTCCCAGGGCAGGGGCCCTGTG